CAAGGACATTTGCTCAGCTATGTTCATAGCAACATTACTCATAATAGCCAGAACTTAGAAACATCATAGATGCCCTCAACCAAAGAATAGATAAAAGAAAATGTGGTACATTTACACAATGGAATACTACTCAGTGGTAAGAAACCATGACATCCTAAAATCTGCAGGCAAATGAACAAAACTAGAAAAAAAAAAAAAAAACATTCTGAGTGAGGTAACCCAGACCCAGAAAGACAAATATGGTATGTACTCACTCATAAGTGTATACCAGACATAAAGCAAAAGATACCCAGCCTATACTCCACAAGCCCAGAGAAGCTAGAACCCTCTTCCAGAAACAGATGGAAACAAATGCAGAAATCTACAACTAACCAATGGGCCGAGCTCCTGGAGTACAATCAAAGTGAGGGAGGAGCAATAATATGAACAAAGGAGACAAGACCATGATGGGGAAACCCACAGAATCAGCTGACCCCAGCTAGTGAGAGACCACTGACTCAGGTCTGACCAATGGGGAGCCTGCATAAGACTGAACTAGACTCCCTTAGTATAGGTGACAGTGGTGTGACTGGGCCGGTATATGAGAGGGCATTGGCAGTGGGTCCAAGATCTAATCCTAATGCACAGACTGACTTAGTGGAGCCCGTTCTATGTGGAGAGAGACCTTGCTCCGCTTGGGGGGGGGGTACCTTGGTCCTGCCTCAGTGAGGTGATGGGACAGACTTAGTAGACTTCCTAGGGGAGGCTCTACCCTCTCCAAGGAGAAGATGGGAGGGCAGTGGGAGGAGCTGGAGGAGGAGGGAGGAGGAACTAGAATTGGAATGTTAAAAATAAGTTAATTTTTTAAAAAAAGATGAGAAATGGCCCTAAAAGTTGTCACCTGACCTCCATCACGGCACCAACATGCTCCTACTCACATAGGCACACACCAAATATTTACAGAGTATGGTTTTCATGCAGAGGACTAAGACTGCATTCCTGGGGTAGGGTGTCCCTGTGTAGGCCAGGATGGTCTGAACATACCATGCAGCACCTAATTCCCAGTGGGGTGAGGAAATGCAGTCCAGCCCCTCTATCAGCACTCCCTCTGAGGGACCTCCAATCAGAGAATGCCAAGTCCTTGACATGCATTGCAAAAAAGGATTTCAGGGTGAAGCCAGGCATGGAGGCACACACATGTAAACCCATGTAAGGTAGAGGAAACAGGAGCTTAAGGCCAACCTCAGCTACAGCAATCAATCGCAAAGGCAACCCTCAGACTCCAAGACTGTCTCAAAAACAAACAAGCAAGGAATTTCAGGAGCCAGAGAGAGGCAAGAGTAGTTTATAAACAATGACCAGGCATGGTGGCACACACCTTTAATGTCAGCACTCAGGAGGCAGAGGCAGGTGGATCCCTTTGAGTTTAAGGCCAGTTTGGTCTGCATAGTGAGTTCCAGGACAGCCGTGGCTCTGCAGAAAGACCCTGCCCAATGAAAACCAAAAAAAAAAAAAAAAAAAAAAAAAAAAAAGGCAAGGAAAATACTATTAGTAGACTTTTAGGATCAACCCCCACTCAGCCCTGCAAACCCCAGGCCTATATTCATTTGCTTATTGAATGTTGCACTTAGATGTCTAATAAGCCTCACCAGCATTAACTGTAAAGATTGTAATACAGTAAAATAAATACATCAAGACATATTTTTTTAAAAACATAGGTAAGGTGCATTTATTTAGATTTAGGTATGAGAAAATTAAACTCAATACCACAAATATTTTGGCCCTAAGAAAACATAAACTACTTTAGGGGTATATGTGCCTGTGTGTGTGTGTCTATTTGTATATGTATGTGTGTGTATGTGTGTCTGTATGTGTGTGTGTGTATGTCTGTGTGTGTCTGTGTATGTGTGCATGTGTGTCTCTCTGTGTATATGTATGTGTGAGTGTGTGTGTGTGCATGTATGTGTGTCTGTGTGTATATATTTGTGTTTATGTATGTGTATGTGTCTGTGTGTGTGTCTCTGTGTGTGTATCTGTATGTGTGCGTGCATGTGACTGTGTGTATATGTGTGTGTGTCTCTGTGTGTATGTGTGTGTACATGTGTGTGTGATTGTGTGTATCTGCATGTCTGTATGTGTGTGTCTATGTGTGTGTGTCTGTGTCTCTGTGTGTGTATGTGTGTGTTTGTATCTGTGTGTGTCTGTATGTGTGTGTCTGTATATCTGTGTGTGTCTCTGTATATGTGTGTGCATGTGTATGTGTGTGTGATTGTGTGTGTCTGTGTGTTTCTGTTTGCATGTCTGTATGTCTGTGTATATGTGTGTCTGTGTGTGTATCTGTATGTGTCCGTGTATGTGTGTGTATGTGTGTGTGTCTGTATGTATGTATGTCTCTGTGTGTGTATGTGTGTGTGTGTATGTTTGGGCCTGCATGTGTGATGATGAGCTTGTGGAGGTCAGAGGATAATTTGCAGAAGTCTGTCCTGTCTGTCTGAGGCAGGCATGCATAAGAGATAATTTAGCCTAAGACCCTACTTGAGTTTGGATTATAAATATACACACACATCTCTTGAAACAATGTAGTTGACACCCCAGCACTTTAATGTGTATGTACAATGCACACATGTTCCTCTCCAAACAATATACCCACAGAGCTCAAAACCTCAACCCCCAGCCTGCATCAGGCTATACATACTCCCATCTCTGAACAGGAGTTTCTCCACTCCTACTAACAATCAAATTTAGACACTTTCTATTTAAATGTGTGGACAATGTATTCAGATATGAAGAACAGAAGGGCCAATCTGGTCTGAACTAGTTTTGGATGATGTGCAGAAAAGCAAAATACCTAGAAACATTTTAAGGAGAATCCCCTATTTACCATTTTAAGTCTATGCTGTGTGCATATTTCTAAAAGCAGATACATTATGGGAAAGGAGATGTGCACTAGGAAAAGTCAATACATGACCTATCAGTCAAAGTAGAGAACCACCTGAACTACAGCCAGTAGTAACCAGCCCTTCCTTCCTTTACACCCAATAAAAACGGACCCCAAGGTGCAACGGAGGCCTTTGAGTGCCCTCATTCATGTGTCCTGCTGTCAACGGTAATACTCTATAAAATGTACTATTGCTTTGCTCCAAATAAAGTAATCTTGCTTCTTTGTAAATCTCTGTGAGCCCTTACCTACAGGATTAGGTGAGAAACGTCTCCCTTGTCTCACCATTGGTACCCGATTGGGGGCGGTGGTGGGTGGAGCCTTGCTAGGTGGGTGGAGCCTTGCTGGAGGAGGTAAGTCACTCAGGGTGGGCTTTGAGTTACAGCCTTGCTGCTTTCCCAATGCCCACTCTGCTTCTGCTTGTGGCTGTGATCTCTAAGTCCCCTGATCTGGCTGCCCACTTGCTGCCAAGCCTCCTTCCCATTGTGGACCCCTGCTCCATAACCATAAGCCAAAATACACTCTTCCTTTTCTAAGTCCATTGTAATCTAGTCTTGGTATTTTATCACAGCCATGGAAAAGTCACATCTTATTTTCCTATTCTTTGAATAAGAGGCCACGAAACATAGAAATACTCAGTCTTGGCCCTGCCCACCCTACTCCACCACTAGTGGGGTGCTACGCGAGAGTCTGAGGGGTCAAACTCAGGTTATCAAGTTTGGTGGCAAGCTTCTTTACAGGCTAAGCCTGCCCTCTGGTTTAAGAGTGAGTGAATCAAAAGGCAGTGGTGGCTGGCACACACCTTTAATCCCAGCATTCTAGGAGGCAGAACCAGCCTGGTCTACAGAGAGAGTTCCAGGACAGCCTCCAAAGCCACAGAGAGACCCTGTCTCGAAAAACCAAAAAAAAAAAAAAAAAAAAAAAAAGCAAGGAACTATAGTATCTCAAGTTGGCCTTGAACTCCTGACCTTCCAAATCTATCTCCCAAACTGTGGGAGTACAGGCCTGCGCCAGCACACCCAGCTGAGTTTGTCGTTTGTAACATCTTCCTTTGAGAGGTCTTTAAGAAGACAGGCACTATCTCTGTAAGCAACTTTGGCTCCTTTGGTTACTTTGAAATTTCAACTCTCAGCAGAGAAGCAAGCTAATGCCTGGATCAGGGGTGCCTGTCACTTCAGTGTCTCCTTAATTTTCTGCCTTTTCATTGTGCCACAAAACAATATCTAAGTCGAGACATGATTGTCTCAGCACTCGTGAGGCAGAAACAGGTGGGCCTTTGTGAGTTCGAGTTCACTCTGGTCTACCTAGTGAGTTCCAGGACAGCCAGAGCTACATAGAGACCTTGCCTCAAATAATAAGATGCCTACTATTGCTGTAATGTAAGTCAAGCCTGTGCCCTACTGTACTCCATTATCACGTAAAAGGTGTTTCCTCGATTCGGACTGTTTGTCTTGCCTTCAGAGATTCCATTTTACAAGCAGCGTTTGACTCTATTGTGAGGGTAGAAGATATGACCTCTTCTGTTTGGCACCACTCATCAGCACAGACTTATTCCAGAGAACAAAAAGAACGCTATCCTATACATTTATTGGGGTGAATTGAGACTGTAAGGGCAGATGGCTCTATTAAAGTAGTTTTTGGTTAGCTTTTCCGTTTTCTTTTTCTGAGACAGGGTTTCTCTGTGTTGCCCTGGCTGTCCTGGAACTCACTCTGTAGACCAGGCTGACCTCGAACTCGGACTCCTGCCTCTGCCTCCCGAGTGCTGGGATTAAAGGAGTGAGCCACCGCGTCTGCTCTACCGAGCTCCTACGTCAAGCGTTTCTAGAATCTGGGCTTAGGTTCCCTACCAAAGACATGGGAGAAACTTCTCCACATCGTAACAAAAAGAAATGAGAAGCGCCCGTCAGCGGCTCGCCGTGAGCAAAGACGAGCGCCCCGAGCAAGCAGCAGCCGCCCTTCGCCCAGCTCCGCCATCCAAGCCCGCAGAGGACCAAAACAAAACGAGCCGCAGGGCTCCGCCCCAACGTGCTCTGCGGAGCCCGAACCTCGCGAGACTTGCTGGCCGGGTCTAATCCCGCCCCCCCCACCGCCCGCGGCGGCGGGCGCATGCGCAGCCCTCCAACGGCGAGGCTTGCGGGAAAGATGGAGTGTCCCACGCCTGGTGCTACTGAGGCTGCGGAGCCTGGAGGGGCCGGACCGAACAACAGCTCCGAGGAGCAGGAGGGTCGGGAACCGGACGCAGTGCGCTTCGACCGCGAGGGGGCGCGCCTCCTGTTGGCAGCTGTGTCCGGCGCGCAGCCGGCGGGGAGGGAGGAAGGTGAGTCGGGGGCTCCGGCCGGGCACGGGGGCGGGGCGGCCTGCCGCCTGTCACTGCCCGGCGCGGGCCAGCCTCTGCGCGACGTCCCACCATTCCAAACTCGCTCTCGGGGAGGGTGCAGGACCTCGACACTCGCTACCCTGCGGAGTTTTTGCGCCCTCCTTTCGCACCCACACGAGGGCAGTTTCCCCCAAATCCCAGGTCTTGCTCTTGGAGATCGACAGGACTTTCCCAGCCTGACCCGTTAGCCGAGCCCGCTGCCACTCCTATCTGTCCTTAATTACACACCCCCAATATTGCTTCCCTTCCCTCTCATAGCCCTACAGTTCTGACGGATCTGCTTGGCTTTATTCAATTTACTTTATCTTTATTTATTTTGTGACGCCTCTCAAACTCGTGACCGACCTCCCTACAGCGAGGTCTGAGCTTTGAAATCCCAGCTTCCTCTGAGCTTGAGGACTGTGTCCTGGCTTGTCATTATTTCCTTCTTGGTAGACCTGAGTAGCCTTGAACGTGCCTCACCTCCTTAGTGCTGGCATTACTGGCCTACACCACCATACCCTGCAATACCGTATTTCATGACTCGCAATACCATATTTCTATGAGTCTGTTGCCAAACCCTTATTCCAAAGAGGAGATCCAGGAGTTGGGGAAACTGGCCTGGGCAATTGTCTGACTCCAGATGCCACATCTCACACGGATGCAGAGTGCTGGAGAACAGTGACTTGTTTGGGGTTCACTTCTGAGCTGAAGTTAACAGATGGCTTTGTTTGACCCAAAACTGGATGGATAAGGGGATGGAGGAGAGCAGGAAGAGTTGGCCTCTTCCAACAGTCTTTTCCAGAGCCAGCTACTTAATGCTAACCCAGATGTACAAGAAGTGTATCTGGGTTTCTGTGCTAATCAGGCTTCTGCAGAGAATCTGGATTTCTGCCCTGGTTGGTGTGCTTGCTCAGAAGACTAGTTTTGGAAAGTTTAATATGTTTGTGACCTGCTCGCCCTGGATGAAGCTGACATTTCTGACCATGTGCAAGGAAGACGTGTTTAAATTTTCTTTAAAAGATTTTTTAAAACTTTATGGGATGACCATTTGCCTGTGTGTGTGTGTGTGTGTGTCTGTGTGTGTTCATGCGTTCATGTGTGTGCATGCAAGGCACCCAAGGAGGCCAGAAAAGGGCATCATGTCCCCTGAAACTGGAGTCACAGACCATAATGAGCTACCATTTGGGTGTTGGGAACTGAATCCTGCTTCTCTACAAAAGCAGAAACTGCTCTTTACCGCTGTGGGATATCTAAGAATTGGGGTACACAAAAAGGAGGTGGCCTTGGAGATAGGAAGAGTGTGCCCTGGACTGAACCTTGAAGCGGAGAACACAGCAGCTGCTTAATGAACTATTTGGATACACATGCATGAGCATAATACATATGTAAAAATACTACAACCCAGTCAATTTCCCTATCACTTCCTAGTCTCACATACCTGCAGCATTTACATCCACCCACTTTTTTCCTTGCAGCACCTCCACTATTATAATTTCATATCATAAATTCAACCATCATAGTGTACCACTCAGTGATTTAAAATACCGTTTACTTTAATTATGTATATGTGTGTGTCCATGTCAGTACATACAGATACATAGGATCCCTTGGTCCTGGGGCTACAGACAGTTGTGAACCAACATGGGTGCTGTGAACCTAGCTCAGGTCCTCTAGAAGACCAACACATGTTCTTACTGACTAGCTGTCTCTGCAGCCCCCAACTCAACGGTTTAATTTTTTTGTACATTTGTTTAGAGAGAGTGTGGCATGCATGCTTACACATGCACCATCGTGTGTGTATGGAGGTCAAAGGACAACTTGCAGGAATTAGTTCTCTCCTTCCTCCCACCACCTGGGTCCTGAGGATCAAGCTCAGGCCCTCAGGCTTAGTGGCAAGTTCACTTACCCAACAAACCATCTCACCAGCCCCTAGTCAGGGATTAAAAGTAGAGACTTGTGTGGTCGCAACCACAATTCTACTTTAGAATATTTCCGTCATCTCAAGTAGTGTCCATCTCTGGTCCTTCCCACTGAATCTCCTCTCACGCCTGCCCTCGGTAACACTAATGTGTTTTCTGTCTCCACAGATGTGCCTTTCCTCAGCATCTCTAACAAACAGAACCCTACAATGGGCAGTCTTTTGTGTTTAGCTTCTCTCTGCATGTTTTGGGGGCTTAACCAAGTCACAGTGTGTGTTCTTTTTATTGCTAAATAGAACTCTGCTAGGGCTAAAGAGGTGGCTCAGTGGTTAAGGTTAAAAGCACTGGCTGCTCTTTCAGAAGACATGGGTTCAATTCCCACCACCCACATAGTAGCTTATACCTGTCTGTAACTCCAGTTCCAGGGCTCACACAGACATTCACACACCCTCACACAGACATATGTGCAGTCAAAATATCAATGAGCCTAAAAATAAAACAAATTTTAAAAAAAAGAATCTGCTGTATTAGCATATTATATTTGTTTGTACATTTGCTATTTGGAATATCTGGATAGTTTCTAGTTTGGACCTCTTTCTGAGAAATTTCTTTTGGAGGGGGCTCTCAGTATCTAACCATGGCTGGCCTGGAGCTCACTATGTAAATCAGGTTGAACTCAAAACTATAGAATTGCAAATCCTGTATTTCAGATATGATGTTAAGATTATCTTCTTTTAGGGGTGATTCACTGTGTTGCACTGGCTGACCTAGAACTCTGTGTAGACAAGGCTCCAGCCTCATACTCATAGAATGCTAGGATTAAAGGCATGTACCACATGTCTGGCTAGCTTCCTTATTTTTTTTATTGCATTTATGTATATTTGTATGGGCACATGGGTACCCTGGCACTCATGTGCAGGTTAGAGAACAATTTGTGGTAGTCGGTTTTTCCCTTCTACCATGTGACCCCAGGGATTGGACTCCAGAGTGCATGGTAGTATGAGCCTGTAGTCACATCTCCTAAGGCGGAAGGATCCCTTCCTTGAGCCAGGATTTCATGGGCAGCACAGGACAGCCTCACGTCTCCTCACAGCAGTGTGTGAATGGGTAAAGAGCATTGGCCTATATAAAATAAGTAATAGTGCATTGGTTTGCAAGGAGGAGAGAGGCCTGTACATGTGTTGGAATGGTTCCATTATATCTGAGAAGGTGCTGTTGAGGTCGCATCTGTCAACTTGCATTTCTTTTCCCTCTGTAGTGGAGCACATGATCCAGAAGAACCAGTGTCTCTTCACCAGCACCCAGTGCAAAGTTTGCTGTGCCATGCTGATTTCTGAGTCCCAGAAGCTGGCACATTATCAGGTAGGCCATTTCTACTGCACTTGCCTTCTGGGCCAGTGCCAAGCCCTCTCCTCTCCTGCCTTACACAGTGATTGCTGATTCTTCCATAGCTACCTTCATGCATGTCTGCTTGGGGCTTGAAATTAACTTAATTTCTGTGAATCTCATCTCTCCCATCCAAATCAGGATTACTATATGTAGATTGTTCTGTACGTCAGAAAATATGACCTTTGGCTTTACATACATACATACATCTGAGTCTGAATCCAACTCTGTTATATCATCTTGTATTTTGTTTGTGAGCCTAGCCTTTAACAGCTGGGCCATCCATCTCTCCAGCCCTGTTATGTCATCTTCTCTGCAAGCAGTTTCACCATGTGTGGCCTGAGCTTCTCCATGTATAAGATAGCAGTGTTCGCATAGATTGTTGAAGGTTAAATGTGATAGCTCATAATAGGAACTCAGAAAATGAGTTTTCTTCCCTCATTTTCTCATTCTCAGAAGTTTTGTGAGAAGTCAGGTGAGAATCTGGTGTGTCATGGCTGCCTCCTCTGTGAAATGGCATTTAGCTACCTTTGATCTTTCTTTTGGGTTCTTGCAGAGCAAAAAACATGCCAACAAAGTGAAAAGATACCTAGCAATCCATGGAATGGAGACCCCAAAGGGGGACGTGAAGAAGCTAGACTCAGATCAGGTAATACACTGCCTTGTTGAGACTGCTTGCTTCTCAAGCAGGTTGGTGTGGTGTACACACAGGCTTTGATTCAGACTGACTTGGCTGCCAGTCTCGGCCAGCCCTATTGTCTAACTTGGGCAAGTCTTATAACTCCGAGCCTTGATTCCTTCCTCTGTTAAAAACAAGAATGCCTCTGAGCGTGGTGGTGTGCACATGTGACCGAGCACTTGGAGGTAGAGGCAGGGGGATCTTATAAAACAGCACCAGACCCTGAACCTGTCATACACAGTGGTTCAGTAAATGGAACCATTATTGCTCTGCTTTGCCACCCAGAGGGTTACTGAAGCAGGACAAGAGAGACTGTAGAGGGAAGCCTGGGCACTCATTTCTTGAGCTGTGGGGGAAGCAAACTTTCAGCATTTGGCTGAACAATCAAGGAAAATAAATACCTCCTTTAATCAGAATTACTATAAGAATTACAGTGGAACAAGCCCTGATTCCTTGAGTGCTGTGACTGTCTTAAGTATGGAAGTTACATCCATCATAGGATAGTAGACAAGACGCTCTAACTTGATGGGTGACCTTGAGCAAGTCACTTGACCACTGAAAAAGTGGAGATTACCTTGCCTCTTGAGTGCTGTGAGGTAAAGTTCCAGTCCCCAGGAAATGCTGGATAAGTAGGAGGTTACTCTCCAGACTGCATTCCTGCTAAGTGGCCAGTGGTTTAAAGGGGTCTTGCTTCCCTTCCAGAAAGCACTTCCTAGTGGCCGTGATGGCTTGGACCCCGAGAGGAAAGGCCATTTCTCCTCTTTGCACTTCAGTGCTTCGGATGACCCCACAGCACCCACCAGCAGCTAGGAATTACTAACCCCAACATCCGCAGTATGAAGGTTGGAAATGTTGATGAACAAAGGACAGGCTTTTCGGGAAGAGTAAAACACTTTCTAGCATAACCATAGTAACAAATGGAACCTGGTGATGTACGTGTTCTAAGAGCCCTGGGTTTGTACTGTGCTCAGCACTGTAGAGTACAGGATAGGTAACAAAGATAAGTCAAGTTGTCCGCACCTGGCTGTGATAGAAACCCGATAGACTCTGGGAATACAGATGAGGAGCGAGGTTCATTGTTCCTGTGTGTACATAGGAGGGGGCTTAGTGGCTGTTCAGTCTTTTTCTTTTAAGTGAAAATCATTGAATGGCTGATAGCAGACCTAATACCCGACAGGAAGGTCGAAGAACATTTTAGACAGTAGGGATAACCCAAGCGAAGCAAGGAAGGACCAGAATAAAATGGGAAGTCATGCCTGGAACCTGACCTGAAGCAGCTGGAGAAGACTGTTAAAGGTGTGTTGGGTTAGTGTGTGCAGGGGTCGTAACTGTCCACCAGCCCACGGGCAGGGGAACCATTGGAGGCTTTTGGGATGCGCAGTGGCGTGATCAGACCTGTGTTCTCTCTCCCACCCAGAAGAGCAGCAGAAGCAAAGACAAGAACCACTGCTGCCCCGTCTGTAACATGACCTTTTCCTCCCCTGTGGTGGCACAGTCGCACTACCTGGGGAAGACCCACGCCAGGAACTTAAAGCTGAAGCAGCAGTCCACTAAGGGGGCAGGTACTGGTTTCCTGAGTAGTGTTTTGGGACCCCTCCTGTCCTCAGGGCACCAATGGCAGTGCTTCCAGAATGCTCACCGAGGCCTCAGACTTGGAGAGGTTGCTTTTAAGAGCCCTGAAAACTTCACATAAGAGTTGGGGATGTAAGTCAGTTGGTAGAATACTTCCCTAATGTTCACAAATGGTTGGCTTTCATCCCCAGCCTTACATAAGCCAGATGTGGTGCACACCTGTAATCTCAGCACTCTGGAGGTAGAGGCAGGAAGTTAGAAGTTCAAGGTCATCCTCAGCTGCTATAGGGAGTTTGATGCCAACCTGGGCTACGTGAGACCCTGCTTCATTGAGATTCGGCCTCAGACTTGGGTTCACTTTATTTTCTTTGTGTTGTTCTAGCAGGCTTTCTGTAGAAGTTTCTTAATCCAGGCTTTCGTCCTGACCAGTAGTTGTTAAGTCAGGAGCGCCAAAGGCCAACACATGCTGTGAGCATTCTGTCACTTGCCTCTCCCACTACTACCCACCTGCTCCTACTATTTATTAAGTGTTGCTAGTTGACTGCTAGTTCCCCATCTTTCTCATGGGCTCAGGTTATGCCCTGCTCACTTTAACCTACAAAAGCTGCCTGCTCTCAAGGTGGGGGCTAGCCTTCAAAGCAGGACACGCTATGTTGTCCAGCAAGCTGTTTGCAGCTGCCATGATTCCACTCCCCACAACTGACTTCACCATTAGCCCGTTATCCTGTCACTGTTGGACCAGCCTTCACTTTCATTTTGAATCCTGAGGTTTTTACCCCAGGCTAGCTGCCATTAGTCAAAAGTGAGAGGCCTTTGATCGATGTCGCCCCCCCTCCCTCTCTCCCTCTCTCCCTCTCTCCCTCTCTATGGTGTGTGTGTGTGTGTGTGTGTGTGTGTGTGTGTGTGTGTGTGATTGTGCTCTATTTGGACCACAACCGCACTATTGATGGAACTTTTGATCTTTGTTTCACTGCATCACTGAAACAAGACAATGGTGTTTTAGAAGGTTTTAAAGACAGAATAGAAAAAAATCTACTCACAATTACATACTCTAATCATATCCAAATCTAATTATTCAGGGAATGAAACAATAGATTATATAGACTTTGAAGTCAGGACAGCACAGACTTAAGTCCTGGCACTTTTACTTAACCATTTGTGCCTGAGTCTCTGTACCTATAAAGTATCAGTGCCATCTGCTTTCTGGAGCTTGTGATGATAAATACTAAAGGCACTGGACAGCCAGGAGTAATAGCACACACCTCAAATCCCCAGCACTTGGGAAGTGGAGGCAAGAAGATTAGGAGTTTAATGCCATCCTTGGCTACAAGTTTGAAACCAGCCTGGCCTATATGGCACCCAAAAAATTAATAAGAGGCAAATGCCTCCCAAAAAGTCTAGGCTACATCAGATATTCACTAAACAACAGCTATTGTTACTGTTGATATCACCATTAAAAAGCCAGTGAATGAAATCCCCTCATAAAATGCAGTCATTGATCAGGAAGCCAGTATCTAGAGCAGTTCTCAGCCTTCCTAATGCTGCAACTCTATAGTTCCTCATGCTGTGGTGATCCCCAGCCATACAATTATTTTTGTTGCCACTTCATAACTAATTTTGCTACTGTTACAAACCATTGTGTAAATATCTGTTTTCTGATGGTCTTAAGCAACCCCTGTAAAAGTTATTCGACCCACCCCCCCAAAGGGGTTGAGACCCACAGATTGAGAACTGCTAATCTAGAGCGTGCCATTGACCTTGCTTATAGTTGAATTGTTAACTTAGATGAGGACTGATTGATTTTTTTACCTATAAAGTGAGAGCTGGTAACAACTCTAATGTATAAACATTAGGCCAAGGAAAATTATCTTAAGAACTGAATTTGTAATGTCACAGACTTAGCTTCCCACAAATGGGAAAATTCTGTGGAACATGCCTTTTCCCGATATTTCTATTCTGAGCAATAAGTTATTTTCCACATTCACTCTCAACTGTTGCAATTAGTGCATCAACTGTTTATATCCTGCTATTACTTTTCAGCCTTATAGTTTAAGCATATGCTCATATTACTTCATGGGTTTATTATAACTCTAACCCTGAAATTAAACATTTGTCTAACATAAAATGAAACATGCATGCTGTAGAAAATAAAGGTAAATTGAAAGAAATTTCCATGATTTTACCTTTCAAAGTGCTGTTAACCTTCTAGAGTACTATTGCTCTTACATAGACTTGTGCACTGTGTGTATGCGTATATCTGTTTGCATTGTATTTGTTTTACGTTCACCAGGTTGACTCCACGTTTATGTGCTTATAAGCATAGACTACATTATTTTCTGTCCCTGTTAAAATAATGCACATACATGAATAATTCTAGTTCAATATGCAAAACATTCAGAGAAGCAAGTAAAATGCCACCCAAAACCTACTTCTAAGGAGAGCACTGTTGCCAGTGCTTATAATCTCTACACTCGAGAGGCTGAGACAGGAGGATTGCTGAGTTTAAGGCCATCCTGGGCTACAAGCAAGTTCTAGGTCAACCTGGGTTATAGAGTGAGACCCTGACTTAAAGGAATAAGCAGACAAATATATCCATATGCTACATGACATGCTGTCATGTATACGTGTGAGTGTGTGTGTGTGTGTGACATTTTTAAATGCCAGTATATTTATATAGATTACACAAAAATCTTTTAACATTGATATGACCATATTGTATAATATATTCAGCTTCCTTTTTTATTTCATTTAGTATATTTCCTCATGTTGGGGGCTAGAGAGATGGCTCAGCAGTTAAGTGTGTTCTGCTCTTGCAGAGGTCCTAAGTGTGGTTCCCAGCACTCTGTGGGGCAGCTCAGAACCCTTGGTAACCCCAGCTCCAGAAGGTTCCAGAAGGCTCCCTCGCCTCTGGGTTCCACGGGCACTGCTCTCATGTGCATTGACCACACAGACACACAATTAAAGTCTTTGATGATAAAAAACTCCTCCAGGTCCTGCAAACTTTTTATAGGTATTTTTAGCAGTCACACAAACCACTAGATGGGTCTTGTAATGCTGAATCTTTTCATTTTCCTCTCTCCTTTTCTTTGTGTTATAAAAATACAATAGTTATCCCTGGAGAACACACTTTGCATATTTTAAGTAGTTGTTGATAGAAAACATTAAACAGTTCCTCTGGCTTTGCAGCTCACTGTATTACTTCCCTCCAGTATTTTTTAAACAATATTTATTTATTTTTGTGTATATGGATGTTTTACCTGCCTGTATATCTGCACCATGTGTGTACAGTACCCACAGAGGAGGGCATCAGATCTCTAGGACTGGAGTTGCAGACACTTGAGAGCTACCATGTGGAAGCCGTTCCTTTGAAAAGGCAGTCAGTGCTCTTAACCACTGAGCTAGCTCTCCAGTCCCACCCTCTAGTATGTTTTAAAGAATAACCTTGGGCCATCAAGATGGCTCAGTGGGTCGATCACAGTGCTTGCCACACAATCCTGGGAGCCTGAGTCTGACTCTCAGAACCCATATGGAGATAAAAGGAAAGAACCTAATCACAAAGTTGTCATCTAACCTCTACACATGTACACATGGACACCTAGGCACACACATGCACACACACACACACACACACACACACAAACACCCACCTACACCCACCTATGAGTACACAAACATGTACACACATACATCCATGGCTCCTGCTTTGAAAAGGCATCTATATGGCCTGCTTTCAACATCCCATGTTGACCTATGAGGAGAGGCTCAAACATATGCCCATCCCAGACTCTATTAGCTGGTTTCTCTTTTAAGAAAAGATTGTTTCTATTTTTGAGAGAGAGAGTATTCATACATGTGTATACACTTGCCTGCATAAGCCAGAGCAACTGGATAAGGCTGTGTGAGCTACCTGACAAGGATGCTGTGAACAACAGGCACTCTGCCACGGACCCTGCCCTAGCCCCTGACCAGGGGAACTCTTTGAGCAGAGTCAGGAATGTCTTCTGATGATGCATTAGTGGTAGCCTGCAGACCTGCTTGTGGTACTCTTGAGCCTGGCATAGAATGACAGCTCCAGGGTCACACAGTCCAGGGTTCTCCCTAACTTAGTGATCTGAGCAAGTCATTTTTACTGAAGTGTAGCAAAAAAATACCCACCTCACTGGAGTACTTCCGAGAACCAAAAGGGAAGCTATATGTACACATGTACAAAATGTGTAGTTGTTACTGCACCGTCTCTCTCCCTCACATTGCCTAGAATTTAGTGTAGTCTTAACAGGCATCTCTGCCAGCTGTGGTGGCACACACTTCAGTCCCAGCCTGGTTTACATCTTGAATCGTAGGCCAGCCAGAGAGGTACATAACTACATAGTGAGACTCTTTCTCAAAAAAAAAAAAAAATACAAAAATAAATAAATAAATATATATATATATATACATACATACATACATACATAAATGATTGAATGATAAAAGTAGTTCTTAATCTGGTTACCTGACTCTCTGTATGGACTCAGAGTGAGTGTCTACTTCAGCTTGTAACGGAGGTATACTGAGCATGGAAATGAAATATTCACACTTCTTATCCTACTCACTTTGAAATTCCAAGAATTTCTGAGGGCCAGAGAGACTGCAAGCATGTTTGCTTGGTCTTTTACAATCAGGCAACTGGATAGCACAGGTTCAGAGCTTCTTCGAGTGTGAAAACCTCAGGCTCATGTTCCTAAAGCTGGCAAACAAGTTAGTTGTTCCTTGCAGTCGCTCAGCTCTTGCCACCTTTCCCAGTTAGAGAAGGCATTTGCGGTATGAGTCTCACGGGCAGTGCCACGTCTCCAAGTGTGGTGGGTGACGCTGCCTTCCTTTCACTTCAAGCATACAAAAAGCCTGGCACCTTCTGGGTGGTTTTTCATTGTTTCTATTTGAACTCTCTCACCGCAGCTCTGTCGAAACACCTTACAAACCCTTTCCTTGTGGCCTCCACCTTAGCCTTGCACCAGAGTAGAGAGATGCTAGACCCAGACAAATTCTGCAGCCTCTGCCATTCAACCTTCAACGACCCTGCCATGGCTCAGCAACATTATATGGGCAAGAGACACAGGAAGCAGGAGACTAAGCTCAAACTCATGGCGCACTATGGGCGGCTGGCGGACCCTGCTGTCTCTGACTTACCAGGTGAGAGGGCACGGCTCACACTCAGCTGGCTCAGGGACTGGACGCTGGAGCTCCCTGGACTACCCAAGTATGTGCTGCTTCCCGCATCTTCTAAAGCAGAGTTTGCAAGCACAGGAGGAAGGCTAGCAGGCAAGCAAGCTAGGCTTGGTGTATATTCCAACACTCAGGAGGCTAAAGCAGGAGGATCACAAGGTCAAGGACAGTCTAGGATATGTAGTGGGAACCTGTCTTGAGGGGATGCAGGGGAACAAGCAGGAAGTTCAGTAAGATCCAAAGACGGCCACGGTCAGCTGAAGAGTGTGCTGAGCACTGAGCACCGCTGCTGTGGTGACGTGGAAGTCAGGTGTGGTGGCACAGACCTTTCATCTCAGCCAGTACTCAGGAGACAGAGGCAGAGATTTCTGTGAGTATGAAGCTAGCTTGGTGTGCATAACCAGCTTCAGGACAGTCAGGACTACACAGAGAAATCAAAAAAAAAAAAAAACAATGGAAAGCCAAATTTGTGTTTTTAATATTGTTATTGTTAGCTCTATTTCAGTGCAGGGCATGAAATACAGGACCTTGCACATGTTCAAGAGCCAGTTATATCTTGCGGGGGGGGGGAGTGTATAGTTTGGGTTGGGTTTTTTGTTTGTTTTCAAGGTAGGGTTTCTTTGTGTGTCTCTGGCTGTCCTGGAGCTGGTTGTGAGTGTTGGGATTAAAGGCATAGGGCATGATCAACACCACCTGGCTTAAAAAAGATTGTAGATAGTTCAACCCCCTGGGCAGGTAGTACTGGTCTGTATAAAAATAAATAAATAAATAAACTATCCCAGCACAAGGAAGGCAGAGGGCGGCAGATCTGATTTCAAGTTCAGCCTGGCCTAAGAACCATGGCTACACAGAAAAAGGAAAAAAAAAAATTTTTTTTTTTTTTGTTTTTCCAGACAGGGTTCTCTGTCTAGCTTTGAAACCTGTCCTGGCATTCACTCTGTAGACCAGGCGGACCTCAAACTCACAGAGATCTTCCTGTCTTTGCATCCTGAGTGCTCAAGATTTATTTTTTAAATTTTTTATTTGTGTATCTGTGGTACACAGATGGCCAAGGAGACCAAAGGATGAAATGTTTGTACCACCTGATGGGACCTGAACTCGGGTCCTCTGGAAGGAAGAACAGCAAGTGTTCTTAACTACCTAGCCATCTCTCTAGCCTTCACCTCTGATTTCAATCCCTAGATAAGATCCACATTGTTTGATTGAAGGTCTCAACAGCCTCTACCAAAGTCTGAGCATCCTTAGGATATCTCTGTTTCCTCAGCCTTTGAGACCTGCCTGTATCCCTGGGGAGTCGTAGTGAAGGAGGAGGCCATTCTAGCTTCCTTAACCTCAGAGTGTCACCTGGCATCATGGGAAATAATTCAGGGCCCTTCCCATTAGTGTGTTTGAGGCTGGGAATGTTTCTCAGCTGGTAGAGTGCTTGCCTAACATACACACATAGCCCTGGCTTTAGTTAGCAGAACCACGTACCCATGGCACAATAGTGCACAGCTGTAATCCCAGCACCTGGGAGTTAGACACTGGGGGGGGGGGATCAGGAGTAGGCACATGTGCACACACATAAGCAATTAAATAAACAAATGAAGCAAGGTTATTGTTCTTGCTGTGGATATAACCTGCAGGTGTTTTAGTTTGGTTTAGGGTTAGGGTTTGTTTTGTTTTCTGAGACACAGTCTCATATGTAGCACATGCTGGCTCAGATTAGCTGTGTGTCCCCAGATGACAAACTCCTGACTGTCCTGCCTCCTCTCCTAGCTGCTGCGTGCAGGAGTGTGCACCATGCTTAGCATTAGCTCAGTCACAGCAGCATCTTAAGAAGCTGAGTATGAGCACTGACTCCTTTCTTCCCAGAAGAGTATTATCTGAGGCCGAAGCGGCCCGAACAGGCCACTCACTGTCTTATTCCTTTAGCTTCCCACGGGAAACCTGTCTTCTCTGGACGGTCCTCTACATCAGGTCACAGCACAGTGCTCAACTGAATACTGTACCCAGTACATGCAACATGCATCCATGTGTGCATCCAGAATAACGTGTTGAACTAGAGTCTTCCCAACCTTTTAAACATGTGCAGTATGAGAAAGCGATCCATGATAAAATCAGCCTGGGCCAAAAGTGACATTTCCAGGTACACTGCCTTTTCTCCTTTGATCTCTGACCAAGGCTTCAGAGTGCCTTTACCTGTGAGTCACCCCTTCCCCTTAGTGTTGTCATCAAATGAATATCCTTTGTTGTTGAGTGGGGAGATGGCCTTTCTTATTTTTCTCCAGTGCTCTACCCCTGAGTATATACCTAGCCCTTCCTTATTTCTTAACACTTGCCATTTAAAAAATACTTCAACTCATGTGGACATTTTGTAACATGGTCAACTTGACCTGTAGGAAAATTTTGAATGTAGGACTATTTACAGTTACTACTATTTATTACTGAGATAATTAATTGTAAAGGATGTGAAAGAAATCTGATCTCAATGAATGTTAGACTGTCAATTGGGTAAGAAGATTATCTGCCTCAGTCTAGTTCTGGTCTGTGTTCCTACCCAGGGGCCTCTGCTGTGTTTCTCTTCTCTGCTGCATATTACAGTTGTACCCATGAAACACTAATAATCAGTATGTTAGTTCTAGTAAGTGGCTAAGAGAGGTGGTTGCTGCCTAATCCCAGCACTCACATAGCTAAGGCAGAATTGTCTCAAGTTCAAGGCTCATCTGAGCTACATTCTTACTGATCTTCAGGTCAGTCTGGGCTACATGGCCTCTCACAAAACAATAAGCAAACAGGCACCACCATCTCTAAAATGGGGACATGTCCTGTGTTGCTAAAATTAATACTAAAATATCCATACTGTCAGTGATTTGAGGATTTGGGATAATTCCGATCCAGATGCCAGTGACATTCTCCATAAAAGTAGAGAAATATCCTAAATATGTATGGTGTCACACGTGACCTCCAACAGCAAAGGCAATCTTGAAAAAGAAAGAGCAAAACCTGAGACTTTGCAGATTTTCAAAACATACTACAAAGCTGCAGTGAATCCCAGAACTTGAAAGGTGAAGGAGGAAGGTCATTCTTGGCTGCATAGAAAATTGAAGATCAATTGAGTTACATGTGATTCACATATTGCCTATCACCTATAATCCCAGCACTTGAAAGATGTGAGCAGGATGACCAGGAGTTCAAGTCCAGCTCTGGCTACATCCAGAGTCCAGGCTAGCCTGGACTACATAAGACCCTATCTAACTAAACAAAGGATTTTTTTTTTTTTTTTTTTGGTTTGGCCTACAAAGTAGTGGGTTTCATTATGACATTTTCATTTTCATACATACATATCAGAATTCTTTGTTCTTAATAATCCTCCTTCCCCTTACCAATACTTTTTATTTATCCTTTGTTTTGTTTTGGGGGACAGGGTTTTATTATGCAGCTCCAACTGTCCTGGAACTCACTTTATAGACGAGGCTGGCCTCGTCCTCGAAGAGATCCACCTGCCTCTGCCTCCCCAAGTGCTTGGATTAAAACATGCACCTCTATGCCCAACTCAAATACTGTTTTTAAAAAGCATTTTAACCTTTTGAGGCTGATACTAACAATAACCCTATTTTATATATCAGGAACCCAAAATCTTGAGAAGCTACACAAGGAGATCAGAGGTTAAACAGCTGACCTGTGGTCTCACGGTTAATAGTAAGGGCGGCTGTGTGCATAGGTGACCTCACGACAGAGCTAAGATTTGAAGGTGACATGGTTCAGAGGTGCCAGGGCCAGGACAGGAGGGGTTTTCAAGTTGTGTGTGTGCTGCATTATACAGTATGTGAAATAAGCCAAGTGTGGTAGTGCAAGCTTGCAACCTTGGCACTTGGGAGGTGAGACTGGAGAAGATAAAGTTGAAGCCTAGCCTGAGATATGATCTCAAAAGAAATTATAGGCAATACGTGACCATGTTAGACATTTTGGCCTGAAGTAGTGATACATATATAACCCTAGCACTCGAGACTAAGACAGTAAAATCGCTTTAAGGCCAGCAAGAGCTACATCAGGTTCAGGCAGTGAGATCTCATTTCAAAAATGAAATCTACAACTTGAGATGAGAGCTGGCTCAGCAGCTGACACCACTCTGCACTCAGAGGGCCTGCGCCTAGCAACCGCGCCCAGCAACCGCATCAGGTGGCTCGCAAGTACCAATAAAACTCGGGTAGACCAGGTGGGCCTTGAAGTCACTGAGATCCACCTACCTATGCCCTCTGAGTGCTGGGATTAAAGTGTGTGCCACCACCACTCAGAAAAAAAAAAAAAAATTAAATCCCAAGATGCAGCTATTTTATCCTAAGTATTATGAGTATAAGGTAGTATAATTAATTAGTTTATGGTTGTGAAAAGCTAAGCATTGGAAGGAAAAGGACTTAGCCACAACACATGAAATAGAGCCAGGGTTCCAGTCTGGACAGCCTCTTAGTCCTGACTCACTGCTGGAGCCATATGGCACAAGGCCGTATTCCCTAACTACTGTCACTGCGAGCCTGAGGAGAGCGGGCCTTCCAGGACTTCTCTCAGTGAAGGGGCACCCTTGATGAGGCCACTAAGCAAAGTAAGTCACCTTTGTTCTGTGGTCCTTCCTTATTATAGATTGATTTACTTATTTGAGGGTGATGCACACGGAGAAGTCAGAGGACAACTTGGAGGAGTCAGATCTGTCTTTCTACCTCGTGGGTCATGGGGACTGAGCCCAGGTCATCAGGCTTGGATGCAAGTTTCTTTCCCCACCAAGCCATCTCAGCAGCTTATATTCTGTCACTCTTCATTTATTCAGTAACATTTATTCAGTCTGGTGTTTGCTGGACTAGGAACTGGGATTACTTGATGAGAATAAGGGGGTACAGTGTTAGATGTTCTGTGCCCCTCAGCTCCACCCTCAGTCTTCAGGAGGGCTTCTGTGTGCCCCCCCCCAGTTCTTCCTGCTGGGTAACTGACTCTGCATTTTGATGTGTGTTTCAGCTGGGAAGGGCTACCCCTGCAAGACCTGTAAGATAGTGCTGAACTCCATAGAACAGTACCAAGCTCACGTCAGTGGCTTCAAACACAAGAACCAGTGAGTAATCGCCTTTGAAACTCAAGAGTCTTCAGCAGGAATCAGGGTTTCTCAGTCAACAGGAGATAACTGAGTTAATGGGCGCTGTCTCCTGGGTTTCCTCTAGTGTGTGGGTAGACGAGGATGAGTTTCAGTAGAGATGCACAAGTGATTTCCTTAGTGGAATACCACAAAGTCACATCGCATAACAAACCTCATACAAGAGGCTTATTGGGAGGGGAAAACCCAGGAGGGTGGCTGCCTCTGCTCAGGTGAGAAATGGCAGAGAACTGAGCAGAAAACAGGGTGTATATAGTGTCTCTTGGGGGGGGGTGAAGCTTTCCAGGGTGGGGATTGGTGGGATTTCAAGTCGAGCTTGGTCTTTTTATTCTGTAGGACAGGAGCTATGTCCCACATTAGAGCAGGTGGAGTCCTCTGTGGGTGGAATCTGACATTGGGGGTCCCCAGGGTAGAGACCTGGCCATGTGCTTGCCCCCAGAAGCTCACAAACTGCACCAGGAAGGAAGGAAGGGAAGATAGCTCTGGTTTGTTTACTATTGAAACCTGGGTAATTCAATAAACCTCTTTCAGTGTCTACTATTTCTGTAAAACTACACTTATTGAACAGTTCCATTTCATTAAACCCTCAGGGAGAGTTCCAGCAGAGCATCTCCTTCACCTGGCGTCGTAAGGTTGCGTGGCTTGCCCTGGGCCACATAGCTACTTGGAGTTAAACAAAGGTTTCCACCCTTGCAGCTGAAACTGTCCACTTTGCTCTCCTCCCTCCCCTCCTGCCGCATGGAGCTCATTAGTCTGCCTCACCTCAAGGCTATGTAAGGGTCAGAGGCAGCGTGTGAAGTGTCACTATAAATAAGTTTGCTGCTCAGATCAATTTTCTTGCTGGGTGGTACACTTTTAGTCCTAGCAATCAGGAGGCCAGTGATGTCTATGACTTCGATGCCAGCCTGGTCTTCAGATTGAATTCTAGTATAGGACCAGGGCTATATACCCAAGGCTACATAGAGAAACGTTGACTCAGAACTCCCCCCCCCCAAAAAAAAAAAAAAAAAAAAAAAAAAAAAACAAAGTCAGGAGCTAAGCAGTTGGGCCTGGTGCAGACATGTAATCCCAGCAGTTATGAGGTAGAGACAAGGGGAGATCAGAAATTCAAGGTCAACCTGGGCTAATTGCAAATCTGTGTCAAAAACACAAAAATAAAGCCAGATGTGGTAAGATGTGCCTGTAACTCCAGCACTGGGAAGATTCCCTAGGGCTCACTGGCCAGAGTAGCCTACTTGGCAAGTTCTAGACCAGTAAGACCTTGTCTCAAAAAATAGAAAGCGTCTAAGGGATGACCCCCAAGGTCATTCTCTCTTCTTCCTTTCTCATCCCCTCCTTTCCTCTGTCTCACATTCACACAGAAGGAATTATGTTTGTTGGAAAATAAATGCAACTCAAGATCATCGTATTAAGCAACTCAAGCCAAATTAGGGGACAAACAATAAAAACCATGTTTTCTCTCCTTTGTGGGTCCTAAATTTCACACATTTCTAAAGAAACAGTTTAAGCCAGTCATTTAAGTGTTCTGGAGTTGAGCTTCATGTATACAATGCTTTCTTCTTTGCCATGCAGAATTGACATGAGGTTGAAATGAGACAATGGGCTAGTAATCAGTGGCTGTCAGGAAAAGGAAGGCCACCTGCCGGTACTACCGTTAGAACATGCTGCTGAGCTTGCGTGCCACACACTCACCCTGTGCCTTTGTTCTTCTCAAATTACAGGTCACCCAAAACCGTGGTGTCACCCATGAGCCAGATGCCAGTGCAAACACAACCCACTCCAAAGGACTCAAGTGTGGCAGAAGACTAAGGTGTTTCTGCCTGCTCAGCCTATTGGGACAGCCACAAGTCAGTTCCCGGCGGCTCCCTCCTTTCTCATATTACAAGAGTATGGAGGCTGAGGCCAAATTGGGCTGCAGACAGCCTCTGACTGGGCCGGAGTGAGGCTCCTCCTGCCCGCCTCTTGAATGTGACCCTACATGTCATGTCATGATAGAGGAGACAGGGCTCTTGAAAAGGCCTGAGGAGGTGTCTGTCCTGCAGTGCTATCGTCTGTCTTTCTTCTCAGGGTCAGTTTGGAGCAAGTCCCTGCAGGTAAAGGAGAGCACCACCCTGGGCTCTGGACAGCTCCTGGGAAGGCTGCAGCTGCCCTGAGGGCTTCATCAGGGCAGCAGACTGCAGACTGCAGTGGCTGCCATGCAGTGTGCAGGCTTGCCTGGTGTAGATCCTGCCACCGTGAAGTCTCCTGGAACCCACAGTCCTCACAGCACTGCCATCTGCTGCCATCTCTCCAGTTCCCAAATGGTGCTCGCAGGCATCTCCAGTAGCCAGGACCTGAGGCCTGAGTGCCCAGTGGGACCCTGGGAAGCACCCCGGGGGCTCCTGTCCTCCATCAGAGGTCCTCTGTCCCGGTCTGTGAGAAAGCCTCCCGCCTGCTATGTTCCTTAGTTCTGTGCCCTTGTGTAGTAGACTATCCCACCCAGGCTGCTGTGGGCTGTCCTACCCTCATCATCCTCAAGGAGATTTGGGGGGCCCAGGAAAGAGGACTGGAGAACTGGTGTGAGGAAAAGGCCCAGGCCTGAACTCAAGAGTTTCCTGCTGCTGTTCTGTGACTGGAGAATCCACTAGGAGTGGATTTTTTCACATAGCTGTGGAGCAAGGATTCTAGAAGTATCCCTAAAGGCTCCACTTGTTAATGCAGTTGGGTACCACAGAGGGGTGGAGGTAGGTCTTATAAACCCCTGGGCACTCAGCCATCCAAATAAAGACTTTGTTCCGTGAGCCAGGCTGTAACTTCAGACCCAGGATTTATAGCCAGCCATGTTGATGCTGCTATCCTCACACCATCAGCTGACTGTCCTGGCCCCTGCCCCTAGCCTGGGCTCCTAGGATGGGGTCTCTCAGCTTTCCACTTCCCTATTGTAGGACACCTCAACGGTTTCTCCAGAATTCTCTGCAGCCCATTGTGTCAGAACTGGTAAAGATCACCAGGTAAAGAAGTGAAGGGTAAGGTCATGAATGAGCTGACCTGCCATAATCCCTCATCTCACAAGACCACCTTGTCTAGATTCAGGGGTCCCTAGCAGCTCATGTTGAGCCGCTCACTCTTGCCCTCTGGGAACACACACATTTGAAATCGTCGAGTCAGAGAGTAATATAAGGGCATGTGGCAATGACCTGGGCACAAGCATTGCCAGCCTGGAGTGTGAAGAAGTTGAGGTTTTGTGTTCTAGTTTGTTTTATGTAGCTGGGCTGGTCTCACACTTGTCATGTAGAAGGCTGGCCGTGAGCTACTGATCCTCCTCCTCTGCCTCTTCCTCCATCTAGGACAACAGGCATGTGCCTGGAGAGTTTGGGTTTTGTTTGTTTTAATGCTACCTAGTAATCCTGTATTTGAATCAGTCACAACCAAGGCTTTCTACTGCTGAGGAGTTGTGTTTCTCCTTGAGGGTTGTCATCATTTGGTGTGTGCATTCCTTCACTCCAGTGGTGACAGGGTAGGCACAGTTTTTAGCTGAAGTGGCTCTGATGTTAGCAGTTCAGTATGTAAAGGTCCAAGTTCTTGTCTACTGATTATTAGATGTCTTTAAAGTTGGGTTTTCTTTTTGTTATTGTTTTAAATTATTATGTATACTGTTCTGTACTCATGTCTGCTTACAGGCCAGAAGAGGGCACCAAATCTCATTATAGAGATCTGTGAGCCACCTTATGGTTGCTAGGATTTGAACTCAGAACCTCTGGGAGAGCAGTCAGTGCTCTTAACCTCTGAGCCTTCTCTCCAGCCCTGAAGTTGGGTTTTCTGATGGCAACCAGGAAGTTGGGCTCAGGGGCCAAGTCTTCTAATAAAGGGCAGTCTAGTATCATCATCATTTTAAAAAGAAAAGAAAAAGTCTATGTAGCCCTGGCTGTCCTGGAACTTGTATAGTCCAGGATGGCCTCAAACTCACAGACATCCTCCTGCCTCTGCTTCCTGAGTGCTGAGATTAAAGGTGTGTGCCATAAGAGTCAGGCTGCTTTCAGCATTCTTTGTAAGAATGAAACCAGCTATCAATGCACAGGTCCACACATACAGGGCAAGCATCAGAGAGAGCTCCATCATATTGCAGTGACCCAGGAAGGTCTCATGGAGAGGCTTGGGCCCTGGAGAGGCAGTCTAAAGTGATGCAGGGAACTTAAGCTCTGGAATCAGGCAGCCAGGGCTCAGATGACAGCTCTGTCTCCTCAAAGTTCACAGTTTTGTGACCTTGGTTACTTAGCCCCCATCCCACACCAGTGTGGAACAGCGCCTACTTTAGAGTCTACCTGAACTATAGAGAAAGAGCATACATCCTTTTTTAAAGCACTCTCCTAGTCACAGTCTACAAATGCTGCTTTGAATCTAGAAACATAAAAACCAATATGAAAATTGGCCAACCTAACCAGGCAGTAACCCATGCAGTAACCCATGCTGGCCACTAGGTGGAAGAGGTGGAAGGTACTCCTCTCTCTCTACTCTTTTTTTTTTTTTTTTGGCTGGTCAGTACATCAACCCCAGGACCTTAGGGCGGTCTGCTCTTAAGTCTCTGATATTTCACTTAACCCTCAAGACAGCTGGAAAAAGATCCAGTTTTCACAGGAAAAGCATGAGCTGTGTCTCAGGCACTCTTACAACCAAGCAGTCATGGAAAGAGCTGACCCCATGCTCCCAATTCTTTTTAAGTTTTTTGTTTGTTTTGAGACAGAGTTTCTCTGTGTAGGCCTGACTCAATCAGTAGACCAGACTGGCCTTGAACTCACAGAGATCTATTTGCCTGCCTTTGCCTCCTAAGTGCTGGGATTACTATTTTTATCGTTTCTTGGGCACATGTGGAGGCTGGAGGACTTCTAGAATTTCCCTCCTCCTGTGAGATTCAGAGGTCAAGCTCAGGTGAATGGGGTTTTAAGCTCCCTGAACCATCTCTGGCCAGCTCCCAATTCCTCCTTACTTCCCAGGCTACCTCACCTTCCACCGTTATGTTTTGCTTGAAAGGCTGCAAAATTAACCACCTGCCTCAGAGGAAGCTGGTGTCTGACCAGCTCCGGATCCTCTATTGCAGTTTGTGATAGGGTCTGTCAGGAACGTGGGTTCACTTCAACTCTATGTAGCCAAGGGTGACCTTAAAGTCCTGATCTTGCCACTACCCCCCAAACACTGGAATTCTGCCACCACAGGATGCTTTATATTTTGTTTTTAGTTTTTGTTTTATTTGAGACGGGGTATCACTATGTAGCCTAGGCTGACCTTGACTGCACTATGTACCCCATGACTTCAGCCTCCCAGCAATCCTCCTGCCTCCCAAGCAGTGGATTCCAGTACTGAACCACCACACGGGCTTCCAAAGCCTTTGTTGTTCTCCCAGGGAGAGGGGGAGAGAGGGGGGGGGGTCATACAACAGGGATCACATGAGGGGTTTATCGGAAGAGGAGAGAAGGGGCAGATGGGGGCAGAGACAGGTCCCTGAGGACAAGAGTAGCAAGAGGAAGAAAGGCAGAGTGGGAGAGAGAAGGATGGGAAGGGGCAAGGCCCACCTTTCATAAGAGAACATAGCGAATATGCACGGGTGGTGCTCTTAGTGGCTGCAACTGAGGACATCCTGTCAGGACCCTGAGGGTCGGCTAGTACAGATGCCTGAATACTAACACTGGCGCAGGGGAAGGGTTCGAACTCTGTTGCCTGTAACCCAGCCCAGGCAATCAGAGCATAAATTTGGAGCTTTTAGTGAGCCAATATCTTAGAAAAATCTGCCTGAGAATTAAACCAACACAAAGTAAACAAGGTAAGAAGTGAGAAAAACATTTCCAATGTGCACACGCGCCCCCCCTCCCCGCATCTAGCTATGCCCAGAAGTTTCTAATTGTGATTTTTTTTTCCTTGAATCTATTTGCTTCGTTTCGTTCCCATTATTTTTAGTGACGAGTTAGTTCTGCCGAGAGGCTAGAGACATACCTGGAAGATACCTACCTGTTGTATAGGAGAAGGTCCTGCCTCACACCATGCATGTGGGGATACAAGTAAGGATTAAGGTGGGGAGGGAGGAAGAGGAGGAGGTGGTTGGAAGAAGGCAGATGATGGCCTAATACAAATACTCTTGTCAGCCCGGAGACCTCTGCTCTGTGTAAATATAAAAATAGCATTGGCCCCCAAGGCTAACTTGGCAGCCCTTCCCTATACCCAGAAACCTCGTGTTCCCTTTAAGCCCTGCCCTTAATGCACTGTGTCAGGACAATCTGTTCAATAGCCTTTTTGCTTTTTTGTTGTTTTGTTTTTGAGACAAATTTTCCCTGTGTAACCCAGGCTGGTCTGAACCTCATGATTCTGTTGCCTCAGGCTCCCAAATGCTAGGATTGTAGGTGCACCCCACCAGAGCTGGCTCCTAGAAGCTGCTCCCTATGGGCAGAAATTGGATCTTACCACACTGGATCACTGATGAATAGCAGAGAACATGATGTTTTCCTGGGAGGGAAGAGAGAGGCAATGGTTAAGGGTTTTATATTTGTTTATTTGAGGTATTGTTGTTGTTGTTAATTTGTTTAGTTAAAAATTTTGAGACAGGATTTCACTGTGTAACCTACCAGGCTGTCCTCAACCTCATAGAGATGCCTGCCTCTGCCTCCTGAGTTCTGGGATTAAAGGTGTGCACCTTTTCTATTTTGTTTTATTTTGCAGTACTGGGAATTAAACCCAGGAAGTCCAGTATACGAGGCAAGTGTCCACTACTGACCACTTCCCAGCCCCAATCAAGAGTTCTTACAGGAGAAGAGCCTCTCACGGTTGTAGAGGTCAAAGGAACCAGGTGGAGAAGGAGGTGGGGTGTGGGCTGGAGTGGGTTGTTTCAGTGATGACTTCCCATGAATCTTTGCCTCCATGTGCCCGCCCTTCTAGCTGCAGCCTTGTTGGTGTGCCTGTATGGATGGAGAGGACCTTTCTTTCCCCCAGCCCCTTGGATGCTGGCTGGCCTTATGATTGGATTCGATCGATCTGAGAACATAATATCATGACATTGTATGACTTGCTAGGCTAGGAAATAAGAGTCCTTAGAGCCTCCCTTCCTGCCACAGTGCAAGAGTCTGGGTTGAGCTGTAGGAAGATGAGCAATCATGTGATGAGGAAGCCAGCAGCCAGTTTCATACAACTGGCAGTCTATCCATATTTGTGTTTTGTTGTTACTTTGTTTGTTATGGTATTAGGTATTGATCCTGGAGCCTTGTTCATGCTAGGCAAATGCTTTACCACGGAATTAATAATCCTACCCAAAGAGGTCATCACAGACCCTCAGCACAGACAATCTGAAGTATAAGCAACAGTAGCTAATACACAGAATGGCAAAAATAAAAAAGTCTAAAGGCACTGTCTTAGTTAGGGTTTCTCTTGCTGTGATAAAATGCTGACCAAAAGCAACTTAAGGAAGAAGGAATTTATTTTAACTTACATTTCCAGGTAACACTGAGAGAGGTCAGTGCAGGAGCTCAAGCAGGCCAAGAACCTGGAGGCAGGAGCTGAAGCTGAAGCCATGGCGGGTGCTCCTCACTAACTTGAGCTCACGGCTTGCTCACTCTGCTTTACCATAGAACCCAGGACCGCCATCCCTGGGGTAAGAAGACCTCCTTTTACCTCAGCCTCTACTGGATGCCAAGGTCCTGAAACAGGACCTCAAAGTCCCGTGGCTACAATTGTGACAAAGTGTTACAAGGCAAAGTCCCAGTGTGACCAGAGTGCATGACAGAACACAAAGCTCACTCTGGGCTGAAACAGGCTGGTCTCCCTGAGGACTTAACTTCCCCTTTCTGAGGATGTGCATCAAACCCAAGGCCTTGTGCATTAGGCCTCTGTTCTG